ACTTTTAATCCAGGTTACAATAATCCACACTTTTAATCCAGGTTACACTCTTCCCTCAATTACACATTTTACAAAGTAGCTAAATATTGTGCAGGTATAAAGACACATTTGTATATATTTTTGTGTACATTTATTTTTTTAAGCTATTTGACTAACTTTTATTTTTTATTATTCAATATTTTACTAACAGAATAGTCAAATAGCAATCTGTTTTTTGTGCGAATTGCTATGTCAGTCCAATGTTCAATTTTGGAATAAAGGGGTGGAAATAAAAAGTTTTTTTTTTTTGCCGATTCATAGATTAATCGAAAAAATAATCGGCCGATGAATCGATTATTGAAATAATCGTTAGTTGCAGCCCTAGACTGCTGGTAGAATCAAACCCCCAACTCTTGCATTGGAGAACGACTGCTCTAACCACTCAGCCACAGCCGCCCCAATGAATGACTCTCAGCTACCATCTCACATCGGAGGTCAGAGTGTCAAACTCACTATAGCTAGTCAGTTTGACATCAGTGGATCATAACTCAAACTACTGTACATTTGAAACACAATTTCATTTTATGTTATTTAGAATAGGAAAGCTTCCACTCGGCTTTATGAAAATATGACTTGCTGTCTGACTGATCAGGATCTAAGGAGTTATGCTTTTTGTCCCATTTCAAACTGAAATATGCAGAAACAAACACAAGAAGCATAATCAATGATCCCTGAGGGAAGGAACACCTGAGTATGGAGATTGTGCCCTCGCATCGCAAGATCAATCTAAAAACTGTTCTTTCAACACGTCTGTCAAAGCCAGTGAGACTGCTGCATACAAAAGAGACCCCGCCCTCCTGAGTTATAAATCTGCTGCATGGTCTCATTTCCTTAATCTTTTTGCACTTCACCTTGCTTTATCCTCCATGCAGGTCCTTGTATTTGGCTAAACTGTACAACAAGGTGAGCTTGCTCCCTGCCAAGGTGTCGCTACAAGGATTGATCCTTCTTGATGCTCATTTCATTTGCTAACTGGCAACAACTCCTCCCCCAGTTTAGCACAACTAATGGTTATTCGCTCTTTTGTCTAGCCTGTTTAGCTTGCTAACTGGCAAAGCTCGCTCACCCCAGCTTAGCTTAGATAACACGGGACTGCAATAAACCATCACAGCTAACATTTAGCCTGTTTAGCTCACCTTCCTTGCAAAAGTGAACTGTGATCTCAATTTGATTTATCTGGTTAAAAATAGTTAGTTAATTAAATATAATTATAATTAATTAAACTGGCAAAAACAAACCTTTCTCCAAACTCCAAACATGACTCCAGAGAAGAGAAAGAAAAAATGGCGTGGTCTGGTTAATTTGATAAAGCACTAGAAGGAGCTCTGACCTCTTGGTGATCTGTGTGGGCTGCTGCAGAACTCGGTCCAGCTCCAGGCCTTTGCTGTCCAGCAGTCGCCTCAGAGTGATGTCAGCCAGCTGACTAATGACCCCGAAGGCCTCGTCCAGGTTCAGGAACATGGAGAACTCCCTCTGCCTCTGTCGAGTGGTGACTCGGATTGCTTCGGTCATCAGAGCGGTGGCGATCCGCTCCAGCTGTGTTACCTCTGCCCAGGGTATTGTAAACTTCACTGGACAAGTAAAAGGAACACAAAACATTCAAATTACCAACTACATGCTGGTTAAATTTACAAGTATACATCAATAAATTATATTCAAAGACTCCCCGACTTTGCCGTCAGCCTTTAGGCTGTCAATCCAAGCCCACAGCATTGTACTGACCTTCCTTCCCGAGCAGAAATGAGTAGAAGGCCATGTGGTTGATGCTGAGGTAGATGAATCCCTGCCGAGGCACCCGGCCCTTCCAACAGCAGCAGGAGTAGAAGGTCACCAGTTTCTCTGATGAAGGGAGGCTGAAGTGCCGCTCGAACTTCAGAAGCGCCTCCCTGAACTTCTCTGGGTCCTCCTCCTGGGCGGCCTGGCGGCCCTGAGTCTCCTCTGCGATAAGGCCCTGCAGAGAAGACTATCTGTGGTCACACTGAGGATTTTATTATGATTCTACAAATATGTTCTTGAAATGTACAAAACCATCCCTCCTGATGGGTCTGAATGTTTATTTGCACGATCCAGACCTTGACCTTTCCTTTGACAAAGCTGGCAGCATCCTCTTTGTTCTCAAACACAAACAGAGAGTGAAGCAGGTTGTGGACCAGCCAATCCCAGTGCTTCTTCACCTCCTCTCTGGCAGCTCCTGGTGAACACGAAGGGAACATCTCAACAGAAGGTCAGCTTCATAACCATGCTGGAGGAGAGTATCAGAAGATACAGCACAAGGAAAAACTTGTTGCTTCAACTCACCGCTGGCGATGACCCAGCTGATCTGGGAGCCAGGAACCTGAAGCAGAATGCGGAAGGGTGTGACCCTGGCATTGGAGTCCAGCACTGTGTCTAGCGCCCCCACCAGGAGACCTGCAGAAACAAAACATACATGGTTTATTTTGGTCCACTGAAACTAATGAAATCTGTTGAACATTAATAATAGGTACGACCAAAGTCACGAGTCTTAAAAGGTTGGATGATTTATGTATGTAGATTTCAAATGAATAGTGCAACAATTCATTGCTTTTTGTATAATTTATAAACATTCAATTTTCATATATATTTAAAAATACACCAAATGTAAAAACTCTAAAAACACAATTCTTGTTTAAAACATTTACTATGTTCCTCTGTGAATCAGTGAATTATGCTTTTGTTTCATTTTACACAGCGTCCAAACTTTCGCAAAACTGGAGGTGTACATGTCAGTGTGACCTAAGTCAGGTGTTTGCATTTCATGAAATGATATTTAATTCAGAGTGTAATTTTTTTTCTTGTTTTCTTTCCTATAACAGCAAGAATTTGTGGCATTGATGTTCACAACAATCCAAGGCTTTTAAGAAGCTCAGTAGTTGTTAACTAACATGGCTGAACAGAAAACTCGAAACAGCCTGCAGTGATGAAAGAAACACACAAATACAACAAAAGAATAGCAGAAAGAGCTTTATGGAGCCATTAAACCTAAGATAAACAGAACATAGTTGAAGAAAAAAATCAGATCTCAAAACAAATGGTTTGAATGGGAAGTGTTGTATTGGAAGAAAATGCAACACTTCTTTCTAAAATGAAAACATTGTTCTTGTGTGAAACACGGTGGAGGTAGTGTCATAATTTGAGGCTATTTTAACACATTAGTGATGACTTGGAACTGTCTTGTGAGCATTACCTCCTATTTTAATCCTAAGTTTGTTACAGTAACGGAAGTGAAGTCTGAGATGTCATTGTACAGGTCATCCTCAAAAAATTAGCATATTGTGATAAAGGTCATTATTTTCCAAAATGTAATGATAAAAATGAAACTTTCATATATTTCAGATTCATTGCACACCAATTGAAATATTTCAGGTCTTTAATTGTTTTAATACTGATGATTATGGCATACAGCTCATGAAAACCCAAA